ATCTGCACCCACCTAAATAAAAAAAGTATGTGTCTATCATTTTACTTTTTATCCAATCCCAGAGGTCCACGCCTTTCTGCTTTGCTTACTCCCACCTCCCTAATCTATCACCAATAGATTTCACGTAACCCACTTACATCCCCTCTTTTGACTGTAATGTATAAAACAAGGTGCAAAACTGCCATTCTCCAGAGCATTATCTCAATCTGCTGAGATTCTGCTTCCTGGCGTCTGTCAACAGTTTGGCTCAAATAAACTCACAAAAATTCTTCACAAGTTTGAATGTTTCTTACATTAACAATAATGTCATAGTTACAAGCTCAGGCTTGAAATTTATAGACTGCCTGGGTTCAAATCCTAGCTCCAACACTTATTAACCACGTGATCTGGAGGAAAGCTACTTAAGCCCTTTACCCTTCAGTCTCCTGACCTGTAAAAAAGGATATCTACACTTCACAGGACTATTTAAGTTAATACACATGAAGTACTTTGAACAGTGCCTAACACATAAGCACCTGATAAATGTCAGATGCTTTTAATATTAAAGCTGTTTCCACATTCAATAAATAGAAATAACTATCTCAAAAGGCTGTTATCCTATATAATAAAACCCTAATATGCAAATCAACCGAATGGTGGAACGATAGGACAGCAGGAGGCGGGGCTGGCAAGTGGGCAGCGCCAGGCCAGCAAAGGCGGGTGCCAGTGAGCAGAGGGAGTGGACGGGGATCACGGGGTGGTGGTGACCAGTGGCAGCGGGGCAATGGGGGGCAGGGCTGGCCCCTCACCAGCCAGCACCGGCCCGATTGGCCCGCTGGTCGCCTCCCGCAGAGGGAGGCCAGACTGCGGCTTAGGCCTGCTACATCCCCTAAGGCAGCGGTTCTCAACCTGTGGGTCACCAACCTGTGGGTCACGACCCCTTTGGGGGTTGAACGACGCTTTCACAGGGGTCACCTAAGACCATCGGAAAACACATATATAATTACATATTGTTTTAGTGATTAATCACTATGCTTTAATTATGTTCAATTTGTAACAATGAAAATACATCCTGCATATCAGATATTTACATTACAATTCATAACAGTAGCAAAATTACAGTTATGAAGTAGCAACAAAAATAATTTTATGGCTGGGGTCACCACAACATGAGGAACTGTATTAAAGGGTTGTGGCATTAGGAAAGTTGAGAACCACTGCCCTTAGGGCTCCCAGACTGCAAGAGGGCACAGGCAGGGCTGAGGGACCCCCCAGAGTGCACGAATTTTCGTGCACTGGGCCTCTAGTAGTAAATAGAAATGCAAATGCACGAAGAGCACATCTTAAATACATGAAATATATACCAAGTACTCAATAAGCAGTACCTATTATCACTAGAAAGCAACACTGATGGTAATGAGATTGATGAAGAGGAGGATAGCAACAACAGTCATTCCGGGGGCCAATCCACAAAAGCAGTAGTCATCTTTGAGTTGTTCTCTTTTCACCTTCCCAAACAATTACTAAGTTTCATAAATTCTATATCTTTGAAAGCTATCTTTTTCTCCATCCTCACTGGCACTGGCATAAAATCCCCCATGCATGCTCCACAGACCACTGCCACAACAACCTACCAGCTGATCTGTACTAGCCCATTTCAATCCATTCCTCACACGCCAAGCTGAGTTTATTCGATCATGTGACTCCCCACTATAGCATCTTCAATCATCCCATAGCCTTTGGAATAATGTTCAAATTTCTGATTGTGAATTAAAGTCTTTCAGAATTTGGCCCTTTCTACCTCCCTCAGCTAATCTTTTTCCACTCACTTACTTTGCAATCTAAGCTAAGATGTACAACTCTCACCTATCTGTGGTTCCCCAAACACATGCTAGGTCCACTCTGTGCCTTCTTGTAAGCCTAGAACACTTCCTTCTCCCCTTCCTTACTCCCATTCTGACCACTTAATGGTTCTCCTCTGTAATCCAACTCCCATGGCACCTCCTCCATTCCCTGACATCCTATCTCATCCCACCCTCATGTTTTCCCCTTCCAGCAAGAATGAACCTGAGGATTAGTATTGTAAAAGTGTTCTTAACTTTTAAAACCCAAGTAGCTTACTCTTCAGTTCTAACAGCTAGATCAATTTAAGCTACAGGTATGTTTGTAAAGATTTTTAATATTTAAAAATTAATCAGGCTGTTTATTGAATAAGTATTAAGCATCATCAATTAGATATAAAATTATACTTGACCCTTACTGGTCATATTCAGTTCTAACAGCTAGAACTTAAGGTTTGGGCCAAAAATGTCACTTTTATTCCAGATTTCATGGTTCTACAATTTCAGCTTTTCATCAAGAATTTAAAAGTGAAAGTAAAAAAGGGAAAAGCAAAACTAAAAATACTATATAAATGTAAATATTCAGCCATTTTCAAACGGGAAAACAAGGTTCTTTGTTTTTACCCTCTAGATTTTAAAACAAAACAGATACAAAATAAATTTCAAAGAGTATTATAGTTCCAATGTGGAACTGGGATATATTCTTCTGCCTTACATTAATAGTTTTTTTTAATTTACTGCTTTTCAAAAAAGGGTATTTTCATCTGTTTGGTTTCACTCTATAGTTACCAAAGCCTTTCAATAAAACTTAGGAATAAATGACTCCCCCATGTGGAGATCAGCTTACATAGACTTTCTCTTACTAACAAGCTTGGCAAGTCATTTAGCTTCAATATGATTATAAATTTTGAAGATGAACATGGCAATTATAACTTTTTACCTATAAAGGTAAGTAGATAAAAAGCTGACCCTAAAGTAACACAAAGGTTCATGACAGAAATGTATGTTAAAGAATAATACCCGTAAAAAACATGGTTTGAAAATTTTATTTGTAAATTGAATACGTTAACAATTTTAAAGTGAGTGGTCAATTTAAGCTATAAGTATATTTCTAAAGATTTTTAATATTTAAAAATTAATCAGGTTGTTTATTCAATAAGCATTAAGTGTTTAAGCATCAACAATTAGATATAAAATTATACTTGACTCTTATTGTAGGTAATATTAGAGGCTCAATTTATGAAAAATGTTTATATCCCAAAATTGAAAGCTGAGAATTTACATATTAATGATTGAGATCCTGCTTTTAGCTCTATTACCAAACTAATTATTGAAAAAGTTTAGCCTGTAATCAACCAATTAGTTAATATAGTTAAGTAAAAATGTACTAAACTCAGAAACAAAAGTTTCAAGCTCTTTAATATTATAATAGTACTAGAGGCCCAGTGCACAAAAAATTTGTGCACTTCGGGCGGGTGGTCCCTCAGCCCAGCCTATGACCTCTTGCAGTCTGGGACCCCTCAGAGGATGTCCACCTGCTGGCGTAGGCCCGCTCTTAGCAGCAGGGAGCAGACCTAAGCTGGAGTCAGACGTTGTTAGCGCTGCTGAGGAGGTGGTAGAGGCTCCTGCCACCACTGCTGTGCTGGCAGCCATCAGCCTGGCTTGTGGCTGAGCAGAGCTCCCCCTGTGGGAGTGCACTGACCACCAGGGGACAGCTCCTGCATTGAGCATCTGCCTCCTGGTGGTCAGTGTGTGTCAAAGTGAACAGTCATTCCTAGTCTTTCTGCTGTTAGGGTGAGTTTGCATATTACCCTTTTATTATATAGGATTCCAGCCTCAGAGTAGAATCAAGATAAAGGGTATACCTTCAGTGTGAGTATATTCTCATTTGCTATTATTTTTTGAATATCTTCCTTCATTCTATATTTCCACAAAAAACACAAATGTAAAAGAATTAATAAAATATGTATCTAAACAAAAATCAGTCATAGTGGGAGGGAAGCTGTTAGGAGAAACAAGTACAAATACAGCTATCTATCATGCAATTGTTAGTGGATCTTTCTACTTTGTCATATAAAATATATCTGAGAGGAGAGACAAATACACTCATCATCAGATACGATATTCACAGGTCGGAATCATGTTTGAGATTCTCTCATGAAAAGCAATCACTTGGTTATAATAAAGATTCTATGACTTCATCTCCCGTAATTGAGAGCATGTCTCCATTGTAAAATAAAGGAACAAATTCACTGCAAGGTGGACAATCTAATAATTAGAAGGATTAAAAAAAATTTCATTCACTAGCAAGTTCATATAGATTTTAAAAACTAATTTAAGCACTTTACTATTTTAAGTTTCTAGAGCTTCATATGACTCATTATATTAAAAGTCAAGAAGCTCCTCCTTAACATGATTAATTTTGCAAATAGTATGAAGAATATTAGACTTGAAACTAGGAGACAGGAGACCTGGGTTCTGGCCCCAGCTTTAGGCTTCAGTATCCTCATGTGTAAAATGAGAGGGTAAATAAAAAAATGTAAGTATAAATATGGAAAACTCAGCTCCTGATTTTATTTTCCAAAATTAAACTTCATGTTTTTTATATGAACAGTATCTAAGTTTCAAAAAGGAAAATTATATAGCGTAATATAAGTCTCCAATTTCCTGTGTATATCTGAAACTTTTAAGCCTATTTTTTATAGAAAACTATCCAATAACAACTAACTTTTGTAATGTGCTTTTAGGTTTACAAAATGTTAGTAACAATTCTCTATGGGAGGTAGTATTATCCCGATTTTACAGAATGGAAAACTGAGGCTCAGAGTTTAGCTAAAACATGGCCAAGTATTTTGGTTTAAAAAAAAAATTTTGATATTTTACTAAATTGCTAGTCTAAAAAATGGTTTGATAAACATTATTTTTGTAGGTAGGTGATTCTAAAGCTGTCTTAGAATTATAACTCAACTACAGGAAAGGAAAAAGGAAAGGAAAAAGGTTTTAGTCTTATTTAACCATAAGTTTGGTTAATTAAAATATTTTTCTTTTATAAAATGTTATTAACTCTAACAGTAAAAAAATTTTTAGCTAATACCAGGAGACTATACAATTAGCCAGGAGACTTTAGAATATCAGGACCAAGTTACAAACAGTGGCTAAGGTAAAAATTCAAATACTTACTTTGTTATTTTGTGTCACCAGAATACTTCCACCCCCAGGTTTCAAAGGTACCTCTTCCATTGCTCCAAACACATCAGTCTCAACAGAAAAAGTCAGTTCTAGACCCAGATCACTAATATCATTATCTAAAATCCACTGCAAATTCTTGGCATATTCTGGATCAATAGATGCCACATCTTGGTAATTTACAGGAATACCTAAAAATATAAACATACAGCAGTTATATTCTACATGTTTCTGCCTTTCCTTATCTGTTTAATGGTAAAATACTGCCCTCTACAGATACTACGTAAAACTGCAAAATATGATCAAATTCACAGCATGATTTAAATGGATGCTAATTCTTGAATTTGAGGTTTAATTTAAGCTTAGTTTCTTCCACATTTTTACAATGTAATCTTTCTTTAAAAACACTATTCAGGAAATTATTATAAACTTCAAAAAGTGCCAATTCTCTTAAGTATATTCATGTCAAAATACATTCTTAGTATAAATATACATACACTGAAATGAAAAAAAAAAATTGTAGGTGTTTTTTTCTTTCCCTCAGGCCCTCATTTAAATGCCTTACATACACAGACAGTCTCTAAGCAAAATAAAAATGTTCTCATTCAAAATGGCATCACTTATCAAATTATATTTACTTAAAGACTATAGGAAAAACACTTTAAATAAATAAATTAGAGCCATACCAAGAATGTGCTTATAGAATGATCTTGTGAAGTAAATGTTGACCAGCTGCCTATGGTTCAAAGCTAATCCCAAGATCTGTCCAGCAAAACGGAAATAGTTCAAGTGATCAGGATTTACATAGGAGTTGCTATTAGGCTGAAAAGTTGTTCCTATTAAAATAAATACAAAATAATGTATTTTAAAGAATCTATATGCAGAAGAGACATCATTTTAATGCTGATAAATTTGTTCATACAAAACTTCAGCAAAGCTAAAGTTATGTATTAATTTCCACAGGAATGTTCTTTGTGAAATATATAACAGGCAGTGAAACTAGAAGTACAAAAGACATTAATTCACACATGTATATCACAGTACATCTTTGTGCAGAGAGAAAATTTTAGAGTACTTTTAAACTGCACTTTTAAGTATTTTAATTGGAAGATGTGTCAGAGAGATCCTGGAAATAATATATTAAAAGATCACACACACACACACACACACACACACACACACACACACACACACACACACACACACGGTTCCCTGGACAGTGTGGATAAATAACTGCTAGGCTGTGAATTAAGGCAGACATTGTCTCATTCAGGCCCAGTGCAGTAGATATTTACTACTTTTTGCTCCTTAAGGAACACAGCACTATAAGAAAATAACTAACTATTCTTAAGTAATAGAACTACTAATCAATGAACTTGATGCCTTTTAACAATTCTCAGAAAATCACCAAAAGTCCACAAGTCAACCAATTCATCCTCATGGCAAATAATCAAGGTTAAATAAGTACCTCTGAGGTATAAAAGTAAAAATGGCAAGGGCAATAGTTACCCATTACTGTCAAAATCTAGAGCAATGGAGTATATGACTCCACCTATATGAAAAAGATCTGGAAATAAGACAGTGGTGACAGATACACAACACTATGAATGCACATAGTGCCACTGAATTATAACACTTCAAGATTATTAAAATGGTAAATTTAGTCACAATAAAAAACGCCTCAAAAATATCTACTGCAATGAAAAAACCTAATACCAAGACCTCAACTTTAAGTAACCCTTCTTCCCTGTTTTTCTGTGATAATCACTAACTTGGATTATAAATCCTCTTATCATTCAACAAGTATTTATTGAGCTTGTGCTACCTAAAATAAATAATTGATAAAATTAATGAAACTGCATCAAAGGAAAATAAAGAAACAATGAAAAAGTACTAGCAAGTGAAAAGTTTGGTCATTTAGTATACATAGTACTTTGGCAATAATTCCCTTTGTGCTTCGTTGGTCTTTGATTTATCAGAGTTGGAATTGGACTAAATTGCCATGACCAATTTACTGAGATATAAGGTACAAATTTGGAAGCTTATGGCTGAATGATTTAAAAGAGCCACATGAAGCTAATCATTCACTGTTAAATACCTTTAGAGAATCATAATGTAAGACTGGGTATTAAAAGTCAAGACAAAGTTCTGTGGGATGAAGAAACACTTTAAGGATAAACATAGCCATAATTTCAAAAAATACAATATTCTGAGAATAATCACAAACGTTTTTTATGTATTAAAAGAGTGAATGCTTAGGGTTATTGATGAACCAGTAAAGATTTTTGATGAACTGAACCTTCCCCCCCTTGGTCTGTACAATTCCTTCTGTAAGTACTTTCTGGGAAGTCTGGGTTATTAAAAAGAATAGAAGAGAAATCAAAAGAAAAAAATGGGGGGAAATATTCAGGAAACAAATAATAGTTTTTAACTTAAAGCGAGTTAAAACATAATATAAATTCTGTTATGTTTTAAGTTCAAAATAAAAGTAACTGTGATACTCCCAGTTATTTTCATTGCTTCAGAAAAATTGTATTGTACAATTTATCCTTTGATTCCCGTAGTAGCATAAAAAGGGGCAGAGCCTAACACCAAAGGCCAAACTCTTGGCCACTATAGCATATTACTTGTCTAATGTTAAGTATCTTAATTTAACACTTGGAGTGCGGGAAACGAGTTAAGTTGGCTCGCGTGAATTGCGCGTACTCCACGGGAGCCGTCTTTAACTCGGTTCATATAGATTTGCGGTGGAGTGCGGGAAACGTGTAAACTCGGGCCGATTGTAACTGCGTATTACCAAATATTTGTTTGTAATCCACCCTTTTGGTGGATGGAACAAAACCAAAAGACAGAGCCATCTTATATTTTGGCGGGAAATTCACCCGCACTCCAAGTGTTAATTAGAAAGCAAGTTTTAAAGACATTATTATAGATATTAGGTCTATTCAAACATTTCCCACATTTAGGAAATTTTAATTCTTAAATGTAATTCCCTTCTTGTCAACTATACATAAGAACAATTTCATCTAGATTTTAATCTGTTCATACTATGAACCCGAAAAGAACACTCATATGGCTTACAAAAAGGACAAATCACAATTTTTATAGTCTATGTGCTTCAATATATGCTCTACTATAAATTTGTAGTACGAGGAAGTACCTCGACTAATGATTTCACACCAAATCTGTTTTTCAGCTATGGAACGGTATACAACAGACTCAGAATAAAGGGCTATAAAGAAAAGAAATGCATCTAAAATACAATGTTTTAGCCTGGCCAGTGTGGCTCAGTGGTTGAGCATCAACCTATGAACCAGGAGGTCAAGGTTCAATTCCCAGCCAGGGCACATGCCAGGGTTATGGGTTCAATTCCCAGTGTGGGGCATGCAGGAGGCAGCCAATCAATGATTCTCTCTCATCACTGATGTTTCTCTCTCTCCCCTTCTCCCTTCCTCTCTGAAATCAATAAAAATATATTTTAAAAAATAAAAATAAAATACAATGTTTTAATGCTAAATCTTACATCAAAGATTAGGCCTAAATAATGAAATTTAATGCCACATTAGTCTTGTCAAATTCAACAAATTCATCTCATAGCAAACAATCAAAGGAAACAGAGTTAAAGCAGGCAGTCCCATATCCTATATAACCCTATATAATAAAAGCTTAATATGCAAATCGACTGAATGGCAGAAAGACCAGTCACTATGATGCGCACTGACCACCAGGGGGCAGACGCTCAACGCAGGAGCTGCCCCCAGACCACAGGCCCTAGGCCAGCAAGGCGGTACAAGCGGGGGCCCACTGAGGGAGGCAACCAGCAGTGGTGGCGGTGTGGGGTGGGGCCAGCGAGTGGGCAGCACCAGGCCAGCCAAGGTGGGTGCAAACGGGGGGGCCCCAATCACCCTGCTGGTCATCCCACAGATGGGCCCTGATCGCAGGCGGGGCCTAGGGACCTTACCCATGCACGAATTTCGTGCACCAGGCTACTAGTTTCTAAATAATTTCAAATACACCAAGTATATCTGAGGAGCCCATCACATAGCTGGATATCTACAGCTGCCTAGCACCACTGCAGCCCTCCTCCACTTGCCTCTCTTAGAGTCATTCTTCTTATTCAAAGAAGATGTGCTACTCATCTGGTTGGATGCAATCAGGAACTATAAGTAATGAAGCACTCTACCCTTATAAAAAAAAATTTAAACAATGGGAAAGAACAAGTTTTTAGGGGAAAAAAGCAACTGTACATAGCATTTAAAAACTGAAATCCTACCTTCACTTGGATATGTGTCTATGAAGTTACAAAACTCTTAATTATACCTCACACAAATGAGGCAGTACACTAATCATTTCCATTTAGCCTACAATGTCAAATTCAGTTCTGTGTCACAAGTACCATTTCAACAAACAGAGTTTTTTATCTGTATTAAATGGTTAAATAAGAACTTCTTAGTTGTCAGGTCTTGACATTTTAAAAAGACTGAAAATTAAGTTACTACACATAAGTAAACTGTAAGTTAAGATTTGATATCATGATTTCTAGACTTTGTTATAACCAATAAATTTTGAGGCTTGGAAACTTAAATAGGATTAGCAAATTTTAATTTTTCCAAATAAGTACTTGTATTATTTTCACATCATCTACTATCACTATTTCATTAAAGGAAATTTTACCTCAAGAAAAGTAGACTAAAGGACAATCCTTAAAGTGAATAAATTTAGTTCTAGTTTGTAAAGAGCTAATGAAGTTTCTTGGGGGCAGCACTAGTACTTGAGACAAGCATTAGAGAATCAACTGTTGCAGTGGTTCTCAACCTTCCTAATGCCGCGACCCTTTAATACAGTTCCTCATGTTGTGGTGACCCCCAACCATAAAATTATTTTTGTTGCTACTTCATAACTGTAATTTTGCTACTGTTATGAATCGTAATGTAAATATCTGATATGCAGGATGTATTTTCATTGTTCACGACCCACAGGTTGAGAACCGCTGGGAGGAAAGACTGCTAGACTGAGTCAGTTTCCATTCATTAACTGTGCCAACATAGACAAAAACTCTGAATTTTAGTTTTCTTTTCTATGAAATGGGAATACCCAACCTATATTATAGATCTACTACGGGAATCAAAGAATAAAATACACTGAAGTAGTTTGAAATGTGACAAGTCACAGAAAGAGTCATGGAGGCTGTACAACTTACCATCAGCTGACTGGGTAAACAATGCATAATCAGGATTGACTATCTCATTAGACAGAATATCAAACCATTCACGCACAACGCCTTGACCCTAAGTTCAAGAAAATAAAATTAAGTATCAACAGAAATATATAAGATGGGGAAGTTTTTTGTAAACAATAAAATTAAAAGCATATTAAATTTCTTCAATTACCAATTAAATATTAAATTTTATTCAAGTGTATTTTAATCTTTTATATACATTGATCTTCATCACTTATGTTTATACCCACCATGCCTTCTTCTCCATGGAACCGTACAGCAATTCCTTGCTTTAGCTTTGCACAATTTGCTTTTGACACGACTTCACAGCTACTCCTAAAAATGGAATCTAAAAATGCAGCACTGGTTAATTGTACATATTAAAATTTACAATAGCTAGTGTTTGGGGCCTCACATGCACAGCATTTCTTTTGTAAGCATACCTCTGTGAACCAGCAGGATGTCATTCTCACTCACTGGTCTATGCACCATGTCTGAATCTGCTTGTCCTGAATGCAAATGTTCATAAAACCATTCACAGCGATCTTTAAATGGCTGCCCCAACAAATAACAGTAAAATATGTTAGTGTTTCAGTCACCTATTAAATTTACTTAACTAGCATGCTAAATACCCTTGCTACAAGTAATCATCCTTAGACCTTTATTTATACCAAGTAGTTCTAGATAATGTCCTGACATTTCAACAACTATTTACAAAAAGGCAGAGCATGGCTGAAATACTTTGACTATCTAAAGAGTGTATTAAAATTCCTTGCATTTTTGCCCAGCTGGTGTGGCTCTGTGGTTAAGCATGGACCTATGGACCAAGAGATCATGGTTCAATTCCCAGTCAAGGCACATGCTTGAGGTTGTGGGCTCCATCCCCAGTAGGGGGTGTGCAGGAGGCAGCCAATCAATGATTCTCTCTCATTATTGATGTTTCTATCTCTCTCTCTCCCTCTCCCTTCCTCCCTGAAATCAATAAAAATATATTTAAAAATAAATTTTTAAAAATGCCTTGCCTTTTCAACAGAAAAGACCTGACAAATTAGGTTATATCTAAGAACTTAATGTCATATATGTAATTAAATATATTTACTCTCCTTTTCTTTTAAACACAACAAGGCTTATAAAAAATGAATTTTCACATCCAGAAAAATTATGTCACATGTTCCATTTAATTTTTCATGAAAATAATCTTTTACATCTAACTTTATTCTTATTTCTACTATAACCTCTAAATACATGCAGCAACCAAAAAAGAATTTTTAACCCCCTTCTTTCCTTCTTCCTTCCCTTCCTCCATCCTAAAAATTAAAGAATACAACCTCTTAAACAGTAAAGAAAGTCTCTACCTTTTGTTCATTTGCCAGATATGCAACTGCATGTGATTTGCAATTTTTTTATAATTACTCAGAAAGTATTGCTGAGTAGCCAGCATGTGCCAACACTGCAGGTAACATAAGAGCTATAAAAATCTCCAATTCTTAGCTAAAATTTTTTAATATAGTTAAAGAAATGAAACTAGCATTAGAACAATACATATATAATAAGTTCTAAATAGTGAAGTACAATAAACTAGAGTGCATTAAGAATGTAAAGAATCCTCTGAGAACTTTAGTTTTCCCACCTGTAAAATCGGGGAAATAATACCTTAGGTGATAATTGTGAGGAATAAGTGAAATAATGCATATATAAGGCATAATAATAATTATAATCATAAATTAGCTAACATTTATTAAAGCACCTATAAGTTTTAAGCACTTTAGATGTATTTTGACATGTAATCCTCACAACACTATGAGGCAAAGGGACTCTTACTGTCCCCATTTCACAGAAGAAAAAATGCAGCATCCAGAGGTTAACTTGTAGAAATACTTAACACTCAAAATGCTCAATGAGAGGTGTTGTTCTTATTATCACTCATAATAATGTTAAAATTATTGTTAATAAGTTTTAAAATTACGATAACTGTCCTTGCCATTATAAGATATTAAATATTAAATTATATCTTTTATCTATAAAATGTGAACCAAGAAATAAAAGCAAATGACAATTTTTTAAAGTAATTCAAATGGAACATAAAAAAATATAAAGTTCTACCTTTAAAAGCTAATAAGATATCTGTAAGATCAAAGCATCCACATACATATACACATACCTACAAAGCCAAAGGGCAGATTTTTGTATGTAAACTTTCTCAGTACCTGCATTTCCATAAAATAATTCACAAAACAGGACTGATTACAGAGGTTCCTCTTATTAGCATTTGTACAGCAATACAAAATGTTTCTCCCTTTAACTACAAGCCACCTGAAAACCACCAACAGAACAAGAAGTCAATCCCTTAGCAGAGATCCTTTTTGTTTTTAACTGTGTTTTGGAACAGCCTCCAAGTTACATAAAATTTCTAAGTACAGTAGAATACAAAGTATTTCTTTTTCCTGTTGTGAGAGTAAGCTGCCAACATGATGTCCAGTCAAGTCTAAAAACTTCAGTGTGCATTTCTCACAAACAAGAGAATTCTTCTACATACCAGAAAACAACTGTCAAAATCAGAAAATTAACAGACACATTACTACAGTGTATCTAATCCTTAGACCTAATTCAAGTTTTGTTCTTTTCCTAATAATGTCCTTTACAGTGCAATACCTCAAGAATTTTATTTAGTTGTCCTGTTTCATTCTGGTAGTTTTTCATTGTTTTCTTAATTTTCACGACCTCAATACTTTTAAAGATTGCAGGTCACTTATTTTGTTAGTATGTCTGATGTTTTCTCATGATTAAATGCAGGGTGTGCATCTTTGGCAGGAATATTAAAGAAGTGATGCCATGTTCTTCTCTGTGCGCCAAGTCAGCTGGCACACCGATAGTTCTGCTTTGGTCACTGCCAAATGTGCCCACTGTAAAGTTTTTTGTTTGTTTATTTTTATTTTAATCCTCATCTGAGGATATGTTTATTAATTTTAGGGAGATAGATACAGAGAGAGAGAGACAGAGACAGAGACAGAGACAGAGACAGAGAGAGACATCGATTGGCTGCCTCCCATATTCACTCCAACTAGGGATCAAACCCGCAATCTAGGTATGTGTCCTGACCGGGAATTAAATCCACAACCTTTTGGTGTACAGGATGACACTCCAATCAACTGAGCCACCCAGCCAGGGTGATAAAGGCCTTTTTTAAATCTTTGTAATTTGTAAGTATTCCATGGGGACATACTTTGAGACAGTAAAAATATCCCTCACATCATCAAACTTTCCATGTATTCATTAATTTTTTCAATACAGACTCATGAGTTGGTTGTATTTATAATATTTTGCCATCAGTATTTATTTTGATGGCCAAATTGTTCCAGATTTGGCCAGTGGAGTACATTCAAGCTGGTTCTGAGTCATTAATTCTGAATCATAATTCTTTAAAAAAATTTCTTGCACATAAGATGTTCCAGGCTCATCTGTACTTTTACTGACCCAGCCCTGGAATTAGCCATTTCTCCAATGAGTCCTGATTCATTAAGAACGGTATTCAGAGACCAAGAACTGGGTGCTGGGTTAGCTATATCTATCTATCTACATTAAAAATTATAAGCTCACACTGCCATCTCCAATTCCACTCCAAAGGCACATGGTTCATTATATTGTCCTCCATTTTGAAACTCCTTTCTCCAACAATAGGAAACGAAACTCCCACTATATTCACTATACTTACTTATTTGAACAACCTGTATGTAGCTTACATGAACTGTTTGTTCACTGCATGCATGCCCTGTACCCCACTTGGGCTTTGTCAAACTACCGAGCCACTGTCACCACCCTCCACACTGGACATTCTCCATACGCCACTGCAACTCACATACTTCATGCTGAGGCCCTCTTCTACACAGACACCCTCCTTACCACGCCCAAGCTCCAAACACCATAAGAGGAACACCACAATGTTTGAGGGCACCTTCCTCACTCTGGTCAGGCAACAAAATACTCTGTGAGTCAAAGAGGTGGGTAAGATGGATAGCTGATGCAGATGCTTTTTGACTGAATTGTTCAGAAAGGGAAGGGATAAAAGAAGTGAAAAGCAAAGACAATATTAAAAAATAGCAAACTACCTCTTTCAAAACTAAGTTTCTTTCACCCATAATCTCATTTGCCCTAGAATGGAGTCACACAATATAGGTTAAGAAAATGAACTTAAGAACCAGACAGACTCTTAAATTCTGGTTCTCCCACTTGGTGCTGAATAACTTAACGTACTTAACCTCTTTAGTTAAGAGTACCCATCTCACATGATTGTTATAAAAATAAAATAACCCACGTAAAAAAATGTATGGTACCTGGCCTGAAGTTAGCATTCAATAAATGTAAGTTATTATTACGACCTTCTCTTTTACATTACCATTCATTATTAAACAGATGTCAAAGAATACTAATAGACATTTGTATAATTTTGTCAGATTTAGTTCTTAGCTTTCTTTAAGTTCTGAAAGAATCAGTGTCCCTAAAGACATTTAAACACACCTGTAGTATTTATCCTATGACTACTAACCAAACCACAGCCTGCAGTCTATCCTACACTTCTGACAAAGTGTTTCCTAAAATTTTGCCAGGGTCATGTCATTCTCCTAAGGCAGTGATGGCGAACGTTTTGAGCTCGGCGTGTCAGCATTTTGAAAAACCCTAACTTTGGTGCCGTGTCACATATAGACAATTTTTTATCTTTGCAACCATAGTAAAACAAAGATTTATATTTTTGATATTTATTTTATATATTTAAATGCCATTTAACAAAGAAAAATCAACCAAAAAAATGAGTTCACGTGTCACCTCTGACACGCGTGTCATAGGTTCGCCATCACTGTCCTAAGGCAAAGCTATCACTGGCTCCTGCCACCCTAGCAAACAAAGATTCTTTAATATAGCAGTCGAGGTTTAACAAAGGATGACCTAAATCTGCCTTTCCAGAATTGTATCTCATTCCTCACCTACACAAAATTTCTGCTCCACCCACCTACATGTCCATATCTTAACTAGAATGTTCATCTTCCCCATCTATTCTCTTCAAATTTTGCATGTTTTTCAAGGTCCACTTTAAAAACCATCTCCTCTTTGAACTTCCTCTGGATTATAGCAGCCAGAAGCAAGTGTTTCATCCCTTAAACGCCTGAAGAACCAGGTGATACTGTAATTACTATCTTATAGGTACATTTATTATCTCCTCTGCTAGACTCAATTAAGATCCTCTAGGAGAAAGGATACATGTCTTCTACCTCCAAAACAACTACCATTAATTGAACATATATGCCAGTCACTATTTAATACTCTTAATAGTTTTATGAGGTTTATCTCTTTTTTACAGATGAAGAAACCAAGACTCAAGGAGGCTGGAGCTGTACCCAAAGTCACATGAGCTGTTAAGTAGCAAAACAAGCTTTTTCTAACACATTACATGAAACATGAGATATGTGGAATGAACCCTGGCAGGGGAAAGGTTGTCAGGTCAAATAAATTTGGAGGATTAACAAAGTTAGATCACTCTTTTTAGTAGAGGGCTTCTCAAAGCCTTTAATATGATGCTGATAAACTTCATAAATCTCCAACAGGGCACATTTCCCAAAGTATTTGGGGATAAAATCTTTTTCTCAAGGACCATGAGCTTTATAGGGCTAGTGTTCCATGAAGCTCATTTCAGGAAATGTGGCAACGTGTTCTGTTGTCTTTGAATAGCCACTGCACATAGGACCTCAATACACATTTCTTGAAGAAAAATTACTCCTCATAATAAACAAACATCCTAATGTAATTTCATATATTAAAGAATAAGGTAATTTTACTCCTTTATAGCAGGAGGTCTCACGTATAATAATTACTTCACTAAACAGTACTCAAATTTAGAAAGTCAATTTTCATTAAACAGATTAAAAACAAGATTAAGAGAAATTTATACCTGTGCTTTTATGATATGCATAAATCTTGACATCAACTCAGGACATTCAAGGAGAAAGTGAAAGTGGTCAAATATAATTTTGGGATTTCTGAAAGAAAAATACATTTTGTTTAAATGAACAGAAATGATGACTAGCATTAAGTGAAATGCAGATTCAGATATATGGATATTGAAACAGAAGAGCAACACACCTACAATACTTTCACTTGTCACTGAACATTATTTTAATAGTTTAACAGAAGTAACATTTTTTTCTGTAGAGATGAAAACATAAGTAAAGAAAGAAAAGGCTACAAGTGCAGTCCATGAGTCCAAGAAAGCCTTACCTGTTAACAAAGCATTTTAAGACTTCATCGTGTTTGCAGACAAATTCGATGAAACGGGGTGAAGTCATTCTGTGGGGAGTGAAAAAACAAATCAGAACACACAGACAAAAGTTGATGATATAGCAAATTTGAAAACTATGTATTGAACTGGACTGGCTTCTAGACAAAAATTGGGTTTGGATCGTCTTTACAAATTAAGAAATTGAGGCATGTCTACCCAATCTATAAAATGAAAAAATATAAAATTTTCATTAGCATATAAACAAGTGACTTTTTTAAAACCTTGAAATGTTAATAAGCATCTCTGGTCTATACATTTCAAATACATAATAAAGTGATCCTATACAAAGTGGCATTCAGCATTCCTCATGCTAATAACTTATAGAATGCCTATCAAATAATTCTAGATTGGTATGAATATCCTAAAACTAGATCAGAATAGAACTTAAAATCAACAAACTACCAGCTGTTTTTACTGAAATTACATAAAATAAAATAAAAAATCATAGCTTTTCTTCATCTATCAGAGAAGCAATAAGCATGCCATGTAAGCCTTGACAGTTGGGTTTCCCGTTTTGTAATGCAGGCGCCTGACTTAAGTTTTGGTTGCCAAGGCTTCTGCTTCAAAGAGGCATACACTTCAAAGATGGCTATCTTTAATAAACACATTGCCAGCCACCCAACTAGATAAGAGCCAGGCCACCTCCCCCCATTGAGGCTCCTTTGTTTTAGAGATCTTGGTTGACTTGGATAACTGACCATTTAGGCCACTTGTTTTTTTCTCTTCCCACACTTTAAATTCCCACTCTTATGTTTTAAATTCACCAATAAAGACTGAGCACCAGAAAACCCCCACCTTCGACCCCCCAAAAAGCAGAACACCAGGCCCATACCCATACCGCTTGTGCACTAGCTCTCTAGTGGGCCACGCTCTTGCTCTCGCTCTCTCCCTGTGACCTCGCTGTGTGGCCCCAGGTGTGCCATGTAATTTCCAGACCTTGTAAGTAATAAACCTTTTTTTTTTTTCAAAGTTTCCTGATGGTTATTGCTGAAGGGCGCCTTGCAATCATAATAAGAACCACAAGGGCTAGACCAGCCACCAGATTGGTTATTGATAGGCTGAGACCTGCACAAAAAACAAAGCAGAAACCCTCTTACCCTGGAGGCATCTGACAAGAACAGCACATGTAAAAAGCTTGAATGACAGCACTTAGCCGGTTAGCTGTCATAGAAATAACATCCTGACAGTCTGCACCGGCTTCCTGTTTCCCTCCTAGAGCATCTGGTTTAGATTCCCTGGTACCAGTGGATAGATTTTCATAGCTCCCAGGTCCTGGAGGTTCAAATGGAGGAATGGAAGTACCATCTTGATCTTGGCCTTTTTGTTTTAGTAAAATAGAAGTGATATCCGTTGAGTCCTTTTTGTTTTTCATCAGTTCTGTAGCTATTAAAACTAGCCATTCATCTAATGAGTGCCAAAGCAATTCGAGAGGCTAAGAGAAAAAGAAAAGTTTTTTAAAAAATATATCATTCTGAAACTCCAGCCAAACAAATATTATCAAAGAGAAAATTTACTCTAGATACTACTATTTTCCCTGGTTAATGTAACAGCAATGCCTATAGGCAAGTAACAAAAAGTTATGAATGTCATATAAATGACAATTTCTCCATTTATAATGAAAACTTAATTTGCATTTATGCATTCCTTGGAATAAAAAGGGAAAACTAAAACCTAACAAAAAATATATAAGCAATCTTCTTTTAAAAATTTTTATTTAGTTTTAAAAGCATACATGCATATTCCAATGGGTTCTTATTTTCAGTCCTTTAAGCAGCGGTTCTCAACCTGTGGGTCGCGACCATCGGAAAACACATATAGCATATCAGATATTTACATTACGATTCATAACAGTAGCAAAATTACAGTTATGAAGTAGCAACAAAAATAATTTTATGGTTGGGGGTCACCACAACATGAGGAACTGTATTAAAGGGTCACGGCATTAGGAAGGCTGAGAACCACTATAAAGTTTATAGAGAAATAATTGGCATAAATATTGTATAACTTTAAGGTATAAAATGTGATGATTTGATACATGTATACATTGCAAAATGTATACCATAATTTTATTTTATAATTCTTATATGACCACAGAATGCTATAAACCAAATCATGTATTTTGGAAAGACACACCCTTACAATACTTCAACTAAAATAAATAATATTACTTTTAAAGACCACTATGGGAAGAGATTATGCAACCTTATATTTGGAACCTTAGAAAATGTTTAAATAACCTGTTCTGCCAGAAAATTATTTCCAGTTATTATCTAACAAATCCCTCTGCTACATCTTTAGCCTTCCTCCAGGTTTCCATAACATTCTCTTTTTGAAAATATTTCACTTACTGAATTTACAAACAATTAAATCACCCTAAGTCTCCACTTTAAATGTTAAACCAAAAAGCAGAAAACAAAATAAAATAAAACACCCACTACCATCAACAAAAACCTAATTCACTCATTCAGCAAGCATTTAATTAGTAGGCACTTGGTAAACAGGTAAGCAAAAGGCGAAACTAATTATACCCTTTCTGAGGCTGAAATGAGCACCCCCTTCCCCACAAAGAGCTTTTCCATGATTAGGCACAGACTGCAGCTGGAAGACTCAGTGTCCCTGAGCTGCTTAAACAAGAGGCAAAAGAACTGGCTGCCACAAATACTGACATAATACCTTCACTGAAATGTCTTTTTTTTTTCTTTTAATCCTCACCGGAAGATATGTTTCTTGATTTGAGAGGGAGAGAAGAAGAGAGGAATAGAGAGAAACATCGATGGGTTGTTTCCTACACTCACCCTGACCTGGGGTCAAACCTGCAATCTGGGCATATGCCCTGATCAGGAATCAAACTCACAACCTTTTGTTGTACAGGATGATTCTCCAACCAATTGAGCCACCCGGCCAGGGCTTCACTGAAAATGTCTTTAATTCTAATCATGATTCAAGTTTGAGTCAATAGTTTCAGTTCATGAGCAAAACATTTAACCTGCTATAAAAGATTAAAAGAACTTATGTCAACAAAACTATTTAGCTTTACATCAGAAAATGAACTTCTAAAACAGAAAGAACAGGTGGTAATGATGTAAAACTGTTTGAAACAAAAGGAAAAAGGAATAATAAGCCTCTAAATGAGAATGGCTAAAACCTAGAAAATCAACCATTGGATGGAGATGAGCCTAAGGCAGGAAATGATTCCTGCTGCTCAAGCAGACGAGAGCACTGAGCCTGAACCTATCACAATCTTATTTTCAAATACTGACAATGTGCAAAAATGAAAGGCAAAATTTGAATAATCCAGAATACTAAAAAAACTAGAAAGTTTTCAATAAAGGAACACAGCGTAGAATGAAAAGAAAATGAGGGAAAAAAGAGAAGTAGTTAAATCATCTTAGGCCTTTCTTTTCTCTCTTTACCAGCTTTTCATTTTTCATTCACACATGCACCAAAACAACATCCCAACCTTGAGGTAGTTTTACTTAGGGAGTTATCCCTTTAAAGATTTGTGCAGAAAATTCCTTCCTCAACCACAAAAGAATACTGTGAAAATAACTTTAATTTCTAACTGTGGTATCAGCCACAGACAAAAAGATTATAATACATTTTAAAAATTAAAAGTAAACCATATCTGTGATGCTTTCTCTACTCATAAATAATGATAAAAACATTAGACAAAATACAAAGCACTGTACAGATCAATGACTATGGAAAATATGAGCCGGCTTCTTGGCACTGTGGAAATATTGCTTCATTTCAAATTATTGAGTGATCTTCACCACAGAATTACATTCTCCCTATAGTAATAATGACAATCATATACCACTTGCAGAAAAATTAGAAATTTTTCAAGATCCACGTGCCAAAGTGAGATACAAATCTGACAGGAAAGCAAAGTGAGATACAAATCTGACAGGAAAGCATTGCTAACTTTACTAAGTCCATTAATAGTATCTTGGATTCTTGTCAAATGCCACAACTCAAGAGATAAGATTTTATAGTTAAAAGTTTCTCAATCTTTCTTGGCTTCCAATTTTTCCCAATTATACTTGGCTTCCAATTTTTCCCAATTATACTTCTATGATACTGTTAATAGTCGCAGCTTACTATTCACAATAGCATATCAAGATTGAGTCTAAACCAGAACTGCCTCCTCCTACAGATGCTCCGAGAGTTCCATGGCGCTAGGTAAAAATCTCTTAAAACTAAAAAACTAGGTAAGTGTTCAGACAAATTTAAAGGACTTCTAAGATAAATGAGAAAACTAATAACAGGATGTTAAATAATTTCACCTACTAAAAACACACGGCCTATAAACCTACTCATTTAAATGGAAAACCTGTTAGTTAATTTTAATAGAGGGACATGCTACCTAGTTAATGAAATAGAAAGTGGGGGTCAATTGCTACCTTAGAAAAATGTAGTAAAAATTAAAATGATATTTCCAACTTAACATTACAGCAACTCAGCAAATGTTTAAAGATTTTTACAACTTGAATCATCCCACAATGAAGAGATCTTATATACATAAATGACAATGTAACTTCTATTTTTATTCTTAAAGTGGAGAGCTAAGTTTTATAATAAAAATGTTTTAACAAAGTGGCAGATCAAAATTTAAGAGAAAATAAGTAATCAGAGGCAAAAGTAGTTGTCAATAATGCAGAAAATAATGACTTAAAAAAGAAATAAAAATAATAACAAATAAAATAAAATAAATATAAATATATATATTTAATTGACATATACAATAAAAATACAGAGTCTGGATTCAATGGAAAAAAAACTAAAAGAAAAACAGAGATATCTTTTTCTACTCAGTTATATATGTACTGACTGGGTAGGTAAAAAACTAACAAGCATTTAATGCCTACAGAGAGGATATTCAGCACATACTTATTTTCTAATAGCAAATAGATGGCAAATTCAAATTTTAACCAAAAAAATCAGACAATAGTGAATATAATGGTGACCATATCTATACATGATTTGATTTTTCTATTCATAATTGTAAATGAGTAGCAAGAATGAGTAGAAAATAAAATCAGGGGTAGGTAGATTCAGTAACTAATAGCATGAGCACATTAAGAACAACTCCATTTAAAGTGAATGCTTCAGCAGTAAAACTCACTTAAAGCAGCATTGGAAAAACAATGAATCAATAATTTAGATTAGATTTTTACACAGACAATAATCACTCCTAATATTCAAGGAAGGGGTGGTATGTGAAAAGCCAAAATTTGAATTACAATAAGATGCATAACTTCCTTCTTCCAGGAGGTGGCACAATAGGGAAAGAAAAAAGAAGAGAAAAAAAGTGAGATCTCTTTCCAATACTAATTTAAAAAAAGAGAGGCAAGGAAGAGAGAGAGAGATAGATCTCTCTAGCCCCTGAAGCAGACAAATAGATGCAGAGATACTTATACATACCTTCCTAAAGGCTATCAGACCTATTCTAAGTATTAAGGAATCTACTAGTGTCAAAATGCTTACAAACCATTTATTTGTGTCTGCCAAAATTTTCCATGTAAGGATCATTTAGCATAACTCATTAATTTAACTTCAGATTTTTACAGACAGTAAAGCTGTCAATCATAACTTGTTTTGGAGAAAATGGCACATAAAAGCGGTTATATCAGTTTTTGGATAGAGAACCTATATTTACACTCAACAAACTGTTTAAAAAAATATGTCTTTATGAACTCAAAAGCAAATTTTATACTATGAAAATTTCCTAAGATAAAATACCTTTAAAAAAATAACATGGAAAGTTATTAAATTACACATTTATCAAAAATCTGAGTTACCTGAAAATATAATGCCATAAAAAAGCATTAATAATAGCAATTGCAACCATGTTCCTTTTGTTTACTTCATAAAATTATCATTTAACACGAGTAGCAACACTGCCTTGGGTTTTATATGGAATCATTCTTCCAAGGATTCCATCCATAAATGTGCTTATATAACAGGAGCAACTGAAGCAACACAAAATGTTTATCTCAATGATTCTTCCTTGAAGTGATCCCAGGAATTAACTGTTGGTACCCAGTAACTGAAAGTAAACTTACTTTGAAAACATATACACACATAATAATAAAATCTAAATAAAAACTCAAGTTTCTTTCCTTCTGAATAAGTAATATTTTTAAAAAAACATAATGGCATAATGGCTGCATATCATGCCAAATATTAGATTTGGTCATGTTTAACATTAAATATCTTTACCCTTAGAATAAAACACTAAAGGAATTAAAAGTTTACTTGTAAGAAAAATATAAAAGCTCACCAATTAAGACTTGCTGTTGATTAAACAGAGATGAAAGGAGGAAGGTGTGTCCTAACTTAAAAAGTGATACAGGTATGAACCAAACTTACGTCCTGTGTATGAGGTTTCTGATTAATGAAAGCATGCTTTGTCAAATTCATCTCTTTTACGTCTATCTTCATAACAACGTCATATACTTTTCTGACCTTGAACACCTGGCTTCTTGGTGTTTTATTCCCGTTGTAGCCCATATCGATTCCATTACTGGGAGAGGAAGGACCAATTCGAAAGACATGACAAAATATCCTCACAATCCTTAAAAGGCTCTTCATTTGAGCATCATAATTACTAGACAGGCTAAAAAAAAAAAATTAAAATATGAACAGATTAGATAGAATAAAACAAATTACATTTTAAAATATCTATTTTAAAACATTTTCATGAATTGGCCATCTGTTTCATAATTTAACCAGTAAAATTCCTTTCCTGTCTTAACAGAGAACAGAATGTTTTAACAGGAAGTTACCAAATATATATTACTTCAATTGCATATGAACAAATTATTAATTTTTAAGTCACCAGAATATAACCAATGGTCAAAGCATAAAATATATAAATATTTGTTTTAAGTACCTAATCTGGAGTTATCTTAAGGTAAGAAGTATTTTCTTACAATGGAATCTTAAAATTATCAACTATTAATATAGCCTAATAATTTTATATTACTTTACCTAGTTTAAATTTCTTCCAGACTAATTGGTTGGTCTAAAAAAATGTTATTTTTCACTTTCCAACCAGTGAAATATCTCTTTTGTATGATACAAAAAAATTATAAAACCCAAACTTCACCATACCCTTCTCAGTTCATCATAAAATAATTTCTTTTCAAGCCACCAGGTCTCAATATAAAAGTTTCAAAATTAGTTTCCTAATTTAAAGCACTACCTACCACCTTTGGTTTTTATGAGAGTACACCTCCAGTCAGTGTCTTACTTAGCAAAGGTTGTGATTTCTCTGTTCATTTACACATTGTTAACTATCGTTACCTCAATCACAAATATATAGGAAGATAACTCATTTAATGAAACAAAATATGTGTGAAAAGGCCCTCAGGAAATATTTATTATCTTTATCAAATACTCCTAGAATCAGTTAGACAAAAGGCTATTCATTTTTCAAAAGTGCGCTAAATGACATCTCAATTATCACTAATCAATATATATTTATTTTCTTAATTAAAATTTCTATTAAAGTAAATGGCCAAAATTACATCACTTTGGGGTTAAGAAACACAAAATGATTCACAAACAAATGAATAAATGAAAGGCAAACTGCAAAAATACCATTAAACATAATATAATATTAAATATCAATTGTAATTTAAATGTTTTTAATTTTAAATATTATTAAACATAAATTGGAAGGGGGAAATAATTTGTATTTAAGATTCTCTTAAGAATCTACCTTGGTAGCTGTGAGATAATAGTAAATATATCTATTGGTCTCTGCCCCCAGTTCCTGGGGAGCTCCTAAAACCCTAAGTGGTTGGGGCACTAGGAGCATCTTTTGTTCTAATAGTTGGTCTTTGATGTCGATTCCTAACACAGAAACCCTAAATCTCTTGGAATTTCCTGGGTGAGAGCACTGTCTGTTGTTCTACTGAGGTGACTCTTGGTGGGCTGTGGGATAGAATGGAAGCTGGTCACGAGAAAGGCCAAGCCATGATTAGAAGCTTGGAATTTTCAGCCCCCCTCACCCCAAACCCATTCTCCAGAGAGAAGAGAGGGGCTGGATGTGGTGTTAATGTTTCACATGCCTATGTGACAAAGCCTCCATAAAAAGCCAAAACATACGGGGTTTAAGAAGCATCCGGGTTGGTGAACACATCCATGTACCAGAAGGATGATGTCAGCCAACCCCATGGGGACAGAAGCTCCTGTGCTCAGGACTCTCCCAGACCTTGCCCTAAGTATCTCTTTATCTAGCTATTCATCTCTATCCTTTCTCATAGCCTTTAATAAATTAGCAAATGTGTTTCCTTGAATTTGTGAGCTGTTCTAGGAAATAATCCAATCCAAGGGGGGAAAGGTCATCAGAACCTCAGCTTTGCAGTCAAGTCAAACAGAAGTTATGGGGACCTACTACTTGGGATTAACATCTTAAGTGGGGGAGGGGAGCCTTGTGGGACTGAGCCCTTAACCTGTGGGAACTGATGCTATCTCCAGGTAGATAGTGTCAAAATTGATTTAAATTGTAGGACATCCAGCCCCGTTAGTGTGGCTTAGTGGTTGGGTGTCAACCCAGGAACCAAGAGGTCACCAGTTTGATTCCCAGTCAGGGCACATGCAGGCTTAATCCCAGTGGAGGGCATGCAGGAGGCAGCCAATAGGTGATGTTTCTCTCTCATCGATGTTCCTATCTCTCCATCCCTCTCCCTTCTTCTCTAAAAATCAATAAACACATATTTAAAAATAATAATAAATCCATTGTAGAACACCCAGCTGGTATTGCAGAACTGCTTGGTGTAGATAATAAGTGTTGTGAGTGTGGTAGTGATAGGAGAGTAAAGGAGAAACACTGAAGGAAGACTAGTGTACTCAAAACAGTAGCAATTCACTAGTAATCCCAACAAAAGCCATAACATAGTCTATAAAGCATTTGAAGAGTAGTATTGTAAGTACAGACAGTACAGTTTAGCAAAGTAGCTTTAAAACTTGTACTGGCATTAGATCGCTTTTTCCTACCCTGCTTCCCCTGTTCCACTAACCTTGTTGCTTTAAGAGCTAGATTGAAATCTAGAATCTGCTTTTTATAAGCAAGGGTATGAATCCTGGATCTTCTATGTATTAGCTTGGCATATCACTGAACTTCACAATTTTCTTATAGGTAACACAGAGATAACAGTATCTAAATTACAAGGTTACTATGAGGTTTAAGTAAAACAATGCATGTGAATGTTCCTTAGCTTAGTACCTACTTAATAAGTTTTAAAGATAAACTTAAAATAAAAACATACATATATACATAAAAACATAAATGTTTTCTGATTACTTAAGAAGAGCTGAAAATGGGACAAAGATTTAGATAGAAAAAACAAGTAAATTTTTTAATGTAGGAAAACAGGTTAAAGGTATTATGGGGGTATTTAAAACAATCATCATTATCTCTAGCATTTTCCATTTATATCATCAAGACTATTATCACAGTCATCTCCTCTATATGTGCCTGGCACTTCAAAGCACCTTATTATTTCATTCTTACAACAATTCATTAAGACATTTACTACCATTTTCCAAAAAGGAAATAAAATCCTGATTGGACTGTAAATTAAACATAGGGAGAGATCTTGTCTGTATTTTTCACGAGCACCTAGCAGATGGTCTGGTGGATAGTAGGCACTGAAAAATAAGTATTAGATGGCCCTGGCCAGTGTGGGCTTCATCCATGCACTAGAGGTCACTGGTTCAATTCCTGGTCAGAGCACATGCCTGGGTTTTGGGCTCCATCCCCAGTGTGGGGGGCGGGGGGGGTGCAGGAGGCAGCTGATTGATGTTTCTTTTTTTAAAAATATATTTTATTGATTTTTTACAGACAGGAAGGGAGAGGGACAAAGAGTCAGAAACATCAATGAGAGAGAAACATCGATCAGCTGCCTCCTGCACACCCCCTACTTGGGATGTGCCCGCAACCAAGGTACATGCCCTTGACTGGAATCGAACCCGGGACCCTTCAGTCCGCAGGCTGACGCTCTATCCATTGAGCCAAACCAGTTAGGGCATGATTGATGTTTCTTTCATTGATGTTTCTCTCTCTCCCTCTCCCTTCCTCTCTCTCTAAAATCAATAAAAAAATATTTTGAAAAAAATTAAGTATTAGACAAATGGGTAGATGACAGGGAAACTATGAAAAGTTACTTGCTGAGATCACAGTAAATGGTGATGTCTGGATTTACACCTGAGTCTGGTGTAAATGCTTTTATTTAATAAGTCTGAATCTTAGGAAGTCCTTATCCAATAAATGGATTAATGGAAATGACTAAATAAAAAGAGAGCATTATGTCAAGCTGGAATTCAATGACTCTTACAGAGTCTAAAGTAGTCTCAGAGGTAAAAATAGATTTTAAAAATTATCAACTGGTATATTGAATGAAAGTATTGAAGAAACACTTAATGGCTGAAAGAACACAAGAAGGTGACCTAGCAAAGATCCTTTTGAGTAAATAGTAGAGAATGTGATTCTGGTCTGAAGTATATGGAAAGTGTGAGGAAAGACAGAAGAAAGGGGTAACATAATGGATTTCAAAATGTAGCTGACTTATAGAAGCAAAATGTAGCTGGGAGGAAGAAGTCCGGTTGCAACTAACCGAGGTCAGAGAAGACCATGACCTATTAAGACTATTAATGTATTAAGAATAGAAGTGAAAAGACTATTACAAAGTGGAAATCATCCAAATTAGAAGTGGACTAAATTTGTAAGCTACAAAATAACACATTAACCATTTCTAAATGGCTGTTTATTCCTAATTGGAGTAGCTAACCACAAAGAAGTGTAGTTGCAGGAAAATGTAATATATATAAATGCAAATATTATAAAGGCATTAACTCCATGGACTGAGAACCACATAATTTTTGGAAGGAATAAAGAACTGGAAAGGGGGAGAGTTCAAGGAGAAAATTTTATAAGGAATCATTAGGGAGCACTGAGAGGCTGAACACTAGCGTATACCCAGTTTTACATATTAGTTATCAAGATTCCTCAATTGCTTTCTTGATTCTTCTTACTGCACATTTTACTTACATGACTGTTCTAAGCAATCATGTTGTAAAATTCTAGACACATATGTCCAAATCCACTTAAGTCCCTAGTTTTACCTCTTTATGGAAACTAAAGTCTCCTTAGTAAAAGTTGATTGCCCTGGTTCTTTAAAACAAAATACACAAGGTTGTGTCAGCAAATTTTTAGAACATCTTACCACTGACAAAAGGCATCCAACAAAATAAACTATTCCCAGAAATGCCTAAAAGGAGATGAAGCTGACAGATATTGTTACTATTGATCTGTTTACATTTTGAAACACTCACCTAAGCAGTTTATGACCATTTGTTGTGGCAACCTCAGCAAGGCTTGTTAAAATCCTTAGGTACTGGCTTTCACTTTGCTGAGACAAATGTTCTAGAACTTGCCGTAACTAAATTATTTACAAATAAAAAAATGTGATTATATAAACTTTATCAAGAAATTAAGTACCTATTAGTTTAATAAGTATCCCCAAGCCAATTAGCTGAAATCAAGTCCTTTACAGTTATTTTGTCTTGCATAAATTCAAAAGCTAATATAGAGATAAGATGACCTAAAATCTTTGCTCAAAATCACCAAGAAAGCAATAAAAACATAGAAACAGAACAGAAATCACCAAGTTTATTTATAGAAATTTAATTCTAAAATTTAAAAGCAATATAAATGCTGCAATTTTTCAAAGAGTAGAGCTATTCTAAATACAGAGCTCAGTAAAGTAGTGATTACCAATCATAACATGATATTCCTTAGATCTTTTTCCTCTAGCTGTGGGGAATATCCTAGTTATCTTTAGGAGAAACCAAAGACCCAGAGGAAAGAAGATTCATAGGGCCAAATATTAGCACAAAGTTTATTAATTATTATATAATTCATACTTATCCTATAATGAAGATAAACAAATTTATTACAAATATTAAAATATTCATATTATAATAAATTATTATAATATATACATATTTACATTATTCATATATTTGTAATATACATTATTTATAAATAACATTATTATAAATATTTATAATAATATGATTAAGAAACACATTTGTAAATTGCCATGTATGTTAAGCATGCATAAAGCTTGTTCATTTACAGGCTACTAGCACAATTACATTACCATGTTTTCTCGAAGATCTTCATTCTGTGTCATTTGAATAATTGTCTGGAAAAGCCTAGGGTGATATTGAATTAATACTTCACAGGTCTCTCCATATCCACCCTAAAAAATATATTTAAAATTATCTAGCTTTAAAAACAAAGTTCCTAAAGAAAATGTATAGACAGCCCAGATAAGGAGCTTGGTTCACACTTCAGAAGGCAGTCAATCACAAGTCCAGACCACCTACACTCTGACTAAACAGCTGTAAGTCAGAAGTTCCTCAACTCCTCTTTGAGTTTGATAATTTGCTAGAAGAGCTCACAGAATCCAGGGAAACACTTTACTATCACCTGTTCATTATATAGGGTACAACTCAGGAGTAGCCAAATAGAAGAGATTCATAGGGCAAGGTATGTGGGAAGGAGTACAGAGCTTCCATGCCCTCTCTGGGCATGTCATCCTCCCAGCACTTTAACATATTCACCAACCCAGAAACTCTCTGAGAACCCCACTGTTTAGGGTGTTTAGGAAAGTTCCATTATATAGGCATGACTGATTAAATTATTGATCATCAGTGACTGATTTCAAGCTCCAGCTCCTCTCCCTTCCCCAGGAACAGGAGAAGAAGCTGCCCTCTAATCCCATGGTTGGCCCCTCTGGCAACCAGCCCACATCCTGAAGCTATCTAAGAGCTTTCAGCCACCAGTCATCTCATTAATATACAAAAAGACATTCTTACATTCTGGAGAACCCAAGGGTCTTAGAAGCTCATGTGTCATAAAGACCAATATATATTTCTTATATCACTATTCCTTTTAAAGAGCATATTCTTTACAGAATAAAAATCTTTGTACCCACCCTCTCATTTGAGGAAAAACGTTATTTTATCAGTTTCCTTCTATTATAAAATAAGGGGCTAAGAATATATATTAACAACATACTTGTACACATAAATCCAGAGGGGTGACTCCATTTTTATCTGGCAGGTATTTGGCTCCTCGTAATAGAAGAATCTGTGCTGTGTCTCTCTGACCATGACTGTACAGAAAGAGAAACAAGTTAAAAATGTAATTGTTTTAATTTAAAGTCTTTCTCTATGAATTATGGACAGTTAATATGAATCAACGAGGATTAAGAATTTTTAAGAATTGAGAGGAAGATCTGAACTACATCGTCAACAATCAGGAAAACATTTCTCAATGTTAAGTCATACTTTCACTATGTAGGTAAGAAAATGACCTATTAAATATGAGTATTGAACTTGAGACATATTACCTACAATAAATCATAATATTTTGGGATAAATAACTGCTACTGAAGACTATGCTTTGGTTTCTTTCTTCCAGTCACTTCCTTCTCAACTCTAACCAGTTTTGCTTAACAATCTTTGTTCAAAGAGATCCAATGTTTGCTAGGTTAAAACTTAGTGATGCCACCCTAGCTGGTTTGCTCAGTAGTTAGAACATTGGCCTGCAGACTGAAGGGTCTCAAGTTCTATTCTGGTCAAGGCTTGTTTGCAGGCTTGATCCCCTGCACCAGGGCACATGCAGGAGACAACCAATCTATGTGTTTCTCTCACATCGATGTTTTTCTGTCTCTACCCCTCTCTAAAAATCAATGGAAAAAATATCCTCGGGTAAGGATTAACAACAACAACAAAAAACTTAGTGATGCCTTCGCCAGGTGGCTCAGTTGGTTGGAGCATCATCCCATACACCAAAAGGTCATGGGTTCGATTCCTGGTAAGGGCACATACCTAGGGCACAATCTCTGGTAGGGACACATACGGGAGGCAACCAATTGATATTTCTCTCTCACATTGATGTTTCTCTCTCTCTCTCTCTCCTCTCCCCACCTTCCTCTCTCTCTAAAATATCAATAAAAACACATCCTTGGGTAAGAATTAAAAAAACAACTTAATGATGGGGCCCTGACAGGGTAGCTCAGTTGGGTAGAACATCATCCTGATACACCAACGTTGCAGGTTCATTCTCTGGTCAGCAACCAATACATAAATAAGTGGAACAACAAATCTCTCTCTCTCTCAAATCAATGAATAAAAATAAATAAATAAAACTTGATGAGAATATAATACTAGCAGAAAGTACTTCTAAAAAATTCTTTAACCATATCCCTATGCTTAGACTAACTATATGAATATCCCAGTTCTGTACAATACTAATCTATCTATATATATAAAAAGCTAAGTGACCGTCCAACTGTCTGACCGGTAGCTATGATGCACAATGACCACCAGGGGGCAGACACTCAATATGGGAGCTGCCGAGCTGCAGTGACTTGGCAGCAGCGGTTCTCCAGTGACACACCCTGGAACCAGAAAGGAGGGAGCCCAATTCTGGGGCGCTGCGGGGTGCATCACTAGAGAACCGCCCTCTAGCAATCTGAAACCCCATCGGGGGATGTTGGAGAGTAGGTTTCAGCCCAATCCCCACAGGCCAGGTGAAGGGACCCACCGTTGCATGAATCTATGCACCGGGCCTCTAGTATACTCCCACCATTGCACGAATCCATGTACCGGGCCTCTAGTATACTTATATTTTACTATTATACATGGCATTTTTCTATATAAAATATTTTTCAAACATGTAATTATAGTGATTCATTCCAGACATTTACTAAGCATTTCAGCAGAAAGCACTGTACTACACATTGACTATAAAGTTGTGAACAAAATAAGCAAAATTCTTGCTTTCACTGAGCTTTCGATCTAGTAAGGGAGACACACTGTAAACAAGCAAATACATCATATATATGATAGAAAATTTGGGGAGAGGCTTACTTGGATTGGTGAGGAATTGCCTTTCTAAAAGTAACAGTTAAGCAGTGACATGAAGGAGTCAGCCATATAAGAAGCCTAGGAGCCCTAGCTGGTTTGGCTCGGTGGATAGAGTGTCAGCCTGTGGACTCAAGGGTCCCAGATTCGATTCCGGTCAAGGGCACATGCCCAGTTGCGGGCTCGATCCCCAGTGGGGGGCATGCAGGAGGCAGCCGATCAATGAGTCTCTCTCATCATTGATGTTTCTATCTCTCTCTCCCTCTTCTTTCCTCTCTGAAATCAATAAATATATATTTTTAAAAGAAAAAAAAGAAGCCTAGGGAAGACCTTTTCAGGCAAAACAAATAGCATGTAGAATAGCCTGCTGGAAAGAGTCAGCTGTGTTTGGGGAACTCAAAGAGAACCAATGCAACTGAAGCACAGTGAGCCAAGTAGGGGTCAGACCACGCAGGTCTCACGGGTGAATGCAGATTGGATTTAATTTGAAATATAACAAAGAGGCACTGAAAAGTTTTAAATACAGGGTTTAAACACAAAGTGACAAGACTGATTCATTTTTTAAAGATCACTTTGGCAACTGAGGAAAGAATAGTGGAAGAGAAAGAGGAATCAGAAAAACCACTTACGAGACCACTGCAGTACTCTAGATAAGAGGTAACAACTCTAACCAAAGTGGTTTCAGTGAGTTGGAATAAAGAGATTCAGAATATATTCTGAAGGTGGAATTTATAGAACTGACTAATTCCAAGTGGAGGGTCAGAGAAAGAAAGACATAAAAAACAATGACCTAGTTTCTGGTTTAAACTGAAAGGATATGGGTTCCGATGACTGAGATTAGAAAAACTGGAGGAGGTTTGAAAAGGAAAATCAGAAACCTGTATTTTGGACATGGTGACATTTGAGATTCTATGAAACTTTCAAATGGTGGTGTAAATCAGGCAGGTGGACATTTCAAATCTGAACCTTCAAAGAAAGGTCTTATCTAGAAACAACCCCTCAAGATAGAATATGATTTCAGGGAATCAAACAATGATATTATTTATAAACTCAAGATACTATGGAAGTAACTGGTTTTCTTAAGTATAATTTTAGAAAATAACTAAATTCAGATAAGATCTAGTCTAGAGATCCAAAGTCCTTGTATTATAATTCAAAGTTGTTCGATGATGATTTGAATCAGTCTGATCAAAGTAACATCAGAAATCTTAAAGAGAAGCTAAACAAGAAGAAAAGCAGGTCTTTCAGTCTAAAATAAATCTCCAATAAAATGTTATAAAACACAAAAAAAAAGGATAAAGAAAAGAAGAGCTTTTTGGAGAGCTCTATATTTGAATTTAAGAGCCTAAATAAATATTATAATTAATATCATCTAAACCAAAGGGAAGAATCACTAGTGTATTATGAACTGTTCCTAACTGCTAACTACATTTATATAACATTGTGTGTGTGCGTGTGTTTGTGTGTGTGTGTGTGTGCATGGGGGGAAAAGGTGTATGTGTATAATTATTATATTGCTACCTCCATAAGGACTGAGGTATATTTATTACTGTATCACTAATGCTATAATAATGGATGGCAAACAGCGAGTGCTAACTAAATGTTTGCTAATTATATAAATGAATCAATGAACAAAATAAGTGCTTTAAGAAAATGAACCAAGACATAGTACAAAAATAATTTAGTGCAGAATTTAATATCTAACAATAATGATTCAAAAAAGTTTTTTTTAATTTACAATTCCAGAGAAAGCAGATACAGAATTGTGGACCAAGACATACTTTAATAGCTTATCCATTGGAATTGACCTGGAACTTAATAAAGACAACTAGGAAAATTAGTGGATTATGTCTTTTCTCATTAGTTAATAAGTAATTAATATAAAATTGAATAATCAAAGATATCAAAAGCTCCACTTACACCATATAAAAACACTGGCAATATAATAGAAAATATTTTTCCTCATGCGGTTAAGTAACAACCATAATGCCATATACTTCATCTTAAAAGACAGCATAGTATTAATGAAAAAACAAGAGAGCCTTAGAAAATATACAGAAATGTTTGTGTTTGGAAATATAGTAAATACATGACATTCTTTAATGACAGTATCTGGAAATATAAAATCTCATACCTGCAAGCAAAGTACAATGGAGTGGCTCCTGATACATTTGGCCTGTTAATATCAGCACCACTGTCTAGCAAGCATTGCACTGTCTAGGGAGAGGAAAAAAAAAACACAATTAAAAGTAGACCAGAAAAGTCGAACAAAGACACAATTACCACAATTTCAATCCATATAAGAAAAGTTCTTGCCACAACTTGAAGCTTTAAAGAATGAGTAGGAACATGACAATTACGATGGCTGAACAAATTCAATTTTTGATAAGCTCTCTGGGTCTCTCAGGCACTATACAATATATGTGGAATTGTCAATGTAATATAAAGTGTGCTAACCTGGGAAAGCTCTAAACAACTGACACATGTAGCTACCAAGGACTTTAAATTTGGCTAATAAAACTGAGGAACTAAATTTTAATTTTATTTTAAACAGCCATATATGGCTAGTAAATTGAACAGTGCTGCTCTAAATATTTGAATTTAAAAAAACATATTTTTTTGCCTCTAAAAAGAAAAACATAGGTACCAGCCCAGCCGGTTTGGCTCAGTGGTTGAGCATCGACCCCCGCACCAAGAGGTCACCAGTTCGATTCCTGGTCAGGGCACATGCCTGGGTTGCGGGCTTGATCCCCAGTAGGGGCATGCAGGAGGTAGCCAACAGATGTTTCGCTCTCATTGATGTTTCTATCTCCCTCTCCCTCTTTCTTCCTCTCTCTCTAAAAATCAATAAAAACATATTTAAAAAAATAGGTACCAGAGCTATAAATCTCTCAAAGTCAAAGAGCATAACTGTTAAAGTACAAAATGTTCAAAAGCTAAGTTTTTTGTTGTTAACAGCAGCCAATACTGACTCAGTTTTTCTGATCACCATTCAAATGTACTCTGTCCTCTAAGCTTTTCTTGTGCAATCATCTGACTAATATTAACAAAAAGTAAGCTAATATAAAATCTTAAGAATACATATCTTTTGATTAGGGATTGGGCAAGGCTCGCCTGAAAACCTTAAAAAACAGAGTCTGGTTATATTCCTATGATCCTCATTTGAATTTCTCCTGCAAAAAAAAAAAAATGCACAAAAAACTTGAAAGTTTTTGGAATTAGACTGTATAATATTACTTCTGGGTTGAACACACATGTTCATCTTTCATGCTGCTCTAAAACCTAGTGCAATGGTAGTAAAATAATAAGACTATAGCTCTGGCCGGTGTGTTCAGTCGTTAGAGCCTGCACACCAAAGGGTCTCGGCTTCAATTCCCGGATAAGGACACGTACCTGAGTTGTAGGTTCCATCCCTGCCCGGTTGGGGTGCATGCAGGAGGCAATCAATCAATGTGTCTATCTCACATCAATGTTTCTCTCTCCCTCTCCCTCCCTCTCTCTCTAAAATCAATTAAAAGAAACACACAAAGAAGGCTCACCAAGTACCCAGTCTAATAAATTAAAAGGCTTTCAACAAGTTACATCAAAGTGAAATTTCATAATACTGAGGAAATTTGATTCGAGAGATAATGAGAAATCAGACTGGCATTAACAGCAACACTGGAATCTAAAAGATAAAATGCCTTGAAAATTGCAAGTTAAATGACTTCCAACATAGAATTCTTTAGCTAGCCACACTATCATTCAAATACACAATTTTAAATTAAAACACACACACACAAAATATGTTCACCTATATACTAGTAAGATTTCAAAAAAATTTACCTCCAATGTACCTTTCTCAAGAAGCTACTGGAGCATATCCTCCTCCAAAAAAAGGGACTACACTAAAATATAGTAAGATGTGGAATCCAGAGTACTGGAGATCAAACACAGGAGAGAATAAGCAATTTCCAGGTTTAGAGAAGAAGAATAAAACTGATATTATCTAATGAATCTGTCTTTGTACAACACAGTACTGAGATACCTCTCAGCTCATATTTTTGTAGAAGTATATAGGAAGAATTATTGATTAATAAAAAGAAAATTGAGCAAAGTCAATTTTAAGAAAAACAGTCCCCTAGGTAGAAAATGTTGTTACAGTTCACTACTTGACTCAGCAATAAACAATATTTACCCAACTATATATACAACTAATATTGTCTAAGCAAAATCTGTGATATGATTAATTTTAGAAATTGGGGAAAAGAGGGCATGGGAAGAGGATTTAAATGAGCTAAACCCTCATGCACCATAACAAGAACTGATCCAGAGATATCTAAAAGTCATGAATTGAGAAAGAGCAGAGGAAGCATGTTCTTTGGAAATAAATATCATAAGGTGGAAGAGTTGAATATTGTTGCCTGGTGATCATAACTTGACAAAGAAGATTGATGATTTAATGGACTATTATTATTACAAAGGTTTTGATAAAAACATTTTAAAATATACTATTCACATCTTGCTCTTTGAATTTACTTCTATCCCAAGAGAAATTCTAAAATCCATATAATCTATGTAATATAATAGAAATATTACATAAAACTTTATTATCAGCTATAGAATTCCTTTAAACTGGGCACAGTGGTTTAGTACCGCTTTCAAAGAGAAGAAAAATAAGCATTTGGGTCATTTTATAAGATAAGGCCTATTTAAGCCTTTTGATCATGGTTTATCCCTTTTTTATTTTTGACCTAGAAGTTCTCTGTATAGTCCCAAAAATGGGTGATGGATAGCCGTAATACTATTTTACTATGATAGAAGTTACAGACAATAAACTATCTCTCAAAAAGCTCAGAAGAGATGAAAGCAAATATATCAAATATATATAATTGCATATATATAATATGCAATTAAAACCTAGCAATCCAGAGAGAAGCTGAAATAAAGTAATTATTAAAACAAATTATGCATCCATAAAAATTATGTTGTTAAAACTAATTAATGATATTATAATATTAATCACCTTAACATGTGCCTGGACACTACTAATAAGCATTTATAATTTCATTTATTGGTTTTTTTAAATTTCTTCATTGATTAAAGTTATCATTTCATTTAATACATCCTGTGAGGAAGTCAATATTCTCTCCACTTTTGCAAGCAGGAAACTGAGTCTCAAAGGGGTCAAATAATGTGTACCCAACACACAAATAAATAGGGAAGCAGGAATTAAAACCTAAGCCCAGGTTCATAACCATTATGCTATTTACCAAAAAACAGAAGTTCTAATTTTTCTGAATTCAGATTACTAAATATATTATGAATAATTTGGCATATCTTCATAAGCTACATTAATCATAGATGATCTAATAATTCTCTATTGGATAACTGCCTAGCCAACTATTGGTGTTTACTTTTTAAATGATGCTAAAACCATATTCTTTTTATAATAGTTCTCTATTTTTATTTATATTGTAGAGCTTAACAATTTAGCCATTAGACTAACATTAGTCAAACCTGGGTTTTCGAGTGGCTCCCATCTCAAACAATTTGGTTCTCAACCAAGTTGTTCAAGAGGAGAGAGATGGGGGTGTCTTGGTTGTTGAAAAGCTTCTCTCAGGCTACAAAGGAAAGAATGCACTAGTATGAGTCAGTTTAGCACTAACATCTCAGAAAATAATGCTGAGAATATTTTTGTGGGTTTTTGTTTTTTTGTGTTGTTTTATTTGCTTCTGTTGCTAGTGAAATGGGTGATTAGCACAATTTTAAAATATAAAGAGGCCATCAAGAGTGCTAATATTGCTAATGGTGTGAAAGAAATTATCACTGGCAATTGAAGAATTAGAAAAACCAGTAATCCCACTTCTAGGACTGTATTCCAAGAAAACAGAAACACCAATCAGAAAGGATATATGTACCATTATGTTCATAGCAGCACAATTTAAAATAGCTAAGATTTGGAAACAGCCTAAGTGCCCATCAGCAAATGAGTGGATTAGAAAACTGTGGTACGTACATCTACACAATGGAATACTACGCTGTTGTAAAAAAGAAGGAATTCTTACCATTTGCAACAGCATGGATGGAACTGGAGAACATTATGCTAAGCAAAATAAGCCAGTCAGAGAAAGATAAGTATCACATGATCTCACTCATTTGTGGCATATAATGAACAACATAAACTGATGAACAAAAATAGAACCAGAGACACAGAAGCATCAAACAGACTGTACAACCTATGAGGGAAAGCAGGGCGCGGGGGGGAGGGGGAGGGGATAAGAGATCAACCAAAGGACTTGAATGCATGCATATGAGCAAACACCAATGGACACAGACAGTAGAGGGGGAGAGGGCTTGTGCTTGGAGGAGGGGGTAATGGGGGAGAGGTCAATGGGGGGAAAAAGGAGATTCATGTAATACTTTAAACAATAAAGAATTTAAAAAACAAAAAACTGTTGCTGACTTAGATCAATGAAAAGGAGTTAGCCAGTAACAGCAAGAGAAGTTGCAACGGACTGACCTCCTGAAAGACACCCCTGGAAGGAGTGCTGAAAGTGATTCATTTAAGGTTAGTAGGGGGTTGTTCGACAAATTTAAGAAAGGAAGTATTTTTTATAGATTAAACAGTACATTGGATATCTACTGTATTTAAGGTTAAAACAGGGGATCATTTGGGGGTCTGGAATGAATTGATTCCATTTACATTATTTCTAATGGGAAAAAATAATTCGGTTTTCAAACAAATCGCTTCTCAAACAACCTGTCAGACGAATTTTAAGTTTGAGAACCGAGGTTCCACTGCATTCCTCTACTGTTCTCTTCAACAAAGTAGTGAGACAAACTTGGGGCAAGCCATAGTAAGAAAGCATGATTTACAATATGAACTGTCACAGGTTCCTATCACAGTCTTGTATATAGGAAATATTCTACAAAGACAGTAGAAATTCTTTGTTCTTATGAGAGAAAGACACTTAATAAAATGGAAAAGATCATTCCATCATTATCTTTTCCTTTCTGCTTTTCTGTTTTAACAAAAGTATCCCAATTAAGATCCTCAAAATATTCAACTACTAAAAAATATATATATTTTAAAACATTTTTAATAGCTTCACTTGTAGATTGTAGATAAAATATTACCTGAAGACAAGCAGGAAGAAAAAAACATTTCCCTCAGGGTAAAGCTAAAAAATACATAAGGAGACTTGAATGTGAAGAATAAAAATCACCTTGCATGA